TCTTCACTATTAGAATTTGAAAAAAAATATCCGTAGTCAAGAAATAAAAAAATCTAAATTAGAAGGTTTTTTAAAAAGGTAAAAAATGTTCAATTTCATAATTTTTAAAAAGAAAATTTACCATCATAATGTCCTTAAGTATTTAAAGATGGGGTGATCAAAATTAAAGTAAATTAAAATTTTAGTGAATAAATTGAATTGTTTAAAATTTAATAATAGAAGTGGAAAGAATCCTCAAGATAAGAATGGGGTATTTGAAGCAGTTTTCAATCCAACAACCCTTCAGCATCGCAATGGGGAGCAGCAGAGCTTTGCTGATGCTCAGCAACTTCAAATTCAAACCCAGTTTTCCCTTTGCTTCTTCTTCTTTTTTAAAACCATTCTCCCCAATTATTAACAACAATCTCAGAACCCGGAGTTTCTCCATGAAAACAAGGTCGTCTTTGCAGCCACCGGATTTGCCTCGCTTGGCTGAAACTGCTCGAATTTCCCTTTCCCCTAATGAGGTTTCTTCTCTCTCTCTCTCTCCCCCCCCCCCACTCCCCTCAATTCTAATTCACTTTCTCATTCTTTCTTTCACTTTGGTTTCAGGTTGAAGAATTTGCTCCCAAAATTCGACAAGTTATAGACTGGTATTATGTATAGATAGATAAAGGATTTTTGAGAACCGGTTTAAATTTAAATAAAGATTGATATTTGATGAATGATTTGGAGATTTCTCAACAAACTGGGTGCTGGATCTTAGGTTTTTATTTGCGATTTTAACTGTTATTTTTTATCAGCTTATTGTTCGAATTATCCTTTTTTTTTATCATTGAATTTTCGAAAACTATAAAATGGATCGAACTGTTATCATTGCGACATTACAAAATGGTCATTACAATTATCGAATTGTTACAGAACTGTAATATTATTGCGGTGACCATTTTGTAAGTTTTGAAAGTTAAGGGATCAAAAAGATTATTTGAGCATAGTTCAGTAACCTCCTGTGTACTGAATCCTTGTTTTAAGATGAAGCTTTTGCAAATACTGTGTGGTTATTATGCTTGTAATACTTTTGAAGATTACAACTTGAAAATGGGAAAACAACAGTTGGAATTTTGGTTTGGTTCTTGGGTTATTTATTGCAGGTTTGGCCAACTTCAAGCTGTTGATCTTGACAATGTGGAGCCAGCTCTTAGAGCAGGTACTTAGAAACTCATTTACATAAATTCTTATTTCCTTCTTGTTATTCGGTGTTGTAATTGCGCCGTACATTTGTGATGTGTTCGAATGAGAGCAAACTAAAATATGGCGTGATTGAGGCATTAGTAATGTATCGGTGAAAAGTAGTTTCTATACAGTTTCTAGATTCAATGCTGTCAAAGGCAAAAGGCATGCTCTATCCACACAAACGGCTCTCACTCAGAGCTAAATAAGGCACATTTACACGTACATATATGCATGTGTGTGTATGCATGCACCATGAAAAGTAATTTTGATATACATGACTTATTGTCTATTTGAGTTGTGATACATTCTTTTTCGTTGTGCTAAAACACCCGAAGTGTCTGGTATTGCTCCAACTAATAAAAGTACTAGTTGTAGTTGCGTATCTTAACAAAGCTACGAGGACTACCACTTACACGAATTCATATTTCCTTCTTTTTAGTCGTGTTGCAATTGCGCCTTACATTTGTGTATGTGTTCGAATGAGAACATACTAAAATATGGGGTTGCATCAAAATCAAACATGATTGAGGCATTCGTTAACGTATCCGTGAAAAGTAGTTTCTATCCAGTTGCTCAGTTCTATTCTGTCAAAGGTTAAAGGCATGCTCTAGGCACAAAAACGGCTCTCACTCAGAGCAAAGTAAGGCATATATAGCATATATATATATGTATGTATACACCATGCAAAGTAGTTTCGATACACTTGATTAATTGTCTATTTGAGTTGTGGTACAGTCTTCTTAGTTGTGCTTAACACCCGGTATTGCTCCAACTAATAGAAGTATTAGTTGTAGTTGCATATCTTATCAAAGCTACGATGATGACCTTTTTAATGTATGAAAAATGTGGCATAATAGATGCATTTCGTTCTTAATATTAAGCTCTAATGAGCTTTTTTGCCATTCTATTTATTTACAGACACCGAAGGCGATAATTTGCGCGAAGATGTTCCGGAAACATTTGATAACAAGTGAGTACCTGCAATGTAGAATTTGGTTTGTACATTTTCTTTCACTGAGTTATTCTTAGGGCGTTTTAACTTCGAATACGTTCTAAACAGGGAAGCACTGATAGCGTCTGTTCCAAGTTATGAGAAGCCATATATCAAAGTTCCTAAAGTATTGAACAAGGAGTGACACTATTCGGGTATTACATTATACTTTAATTACATAAATATGAACTTGGATTATCTAACATTTGCTTCGGAAGAGCATAATTTCACATCATAATACGCATTCACCGGTACCTCTATGCGCAGAACTTAGGAGATGATCATCGAGTAATAAGAGGGAAGGAAGGAAGCTTTCTCTTGAAACAAATGTGTTTCGGGTTTTCCTGAAGCTTTTCAATATAGGAGAACGTGTCTCTGTAAGTGTTATGTTTTTATAAGCAGAACTGTTGAAATCGGTAATCTTGGGAAAGGTAATTTTGATGGCATGTCCCCTTCATGATTATTCAATGAAATAAATGGTTTAGTCATAGGGTTTAGCTTTTTCGAGCTCGTCTAAATCTCACATGCAATTGGCGACGCACTCGAGCTTTGACAGAGTATTCCGACCCAGCAGTTTATCTAGTTGAAAATTTGCAGTAATACTAGGCAACCAAATCATTGTTCAGGCAAATACATAAAGAGAACCTTAATCCCTTTGACATTTCTGCTTCATTTCTAGCAATAATACTCTTCTTCTACAACACAACATTCCATTCCCATAAGAAACTTGGGGTCTTTAAAAGCACCCATGTCGGGTGTTCAACGGCAGCAATCAATGATCTTGTCGGCCGGAATTGGGCTTTACATCGCATATTTAAAGTGCTTGTGATTGGAATCAATATCCTCATGGCTAAAGTGTGTTGCTAAGCTGAGCTAGCTGCATCTTAGTTGATGGTTATTGTTTTCACCAGAAATTATGTTGGGGGAATCACAATTCACAGTTATAATTTTTTTGGATCCAAATGCAATTTTTTTTTTCATTTTATTGGTTTGCAACTTCACAATTTTTTGGGATCAAAATATAAATTTTAGGCTTAAGGTGCATAAAGCCTTCAAACTTTTTTTTAAAAATTATGTATAATGAAAAAATGTTCAAATTGTACTCTATTTACTTTAGATGCTTAATTTTTTTTTGTTTAAGGTAGGTGTTTAAAGTGGTCCTATCTCTATAAATTTTAATCTGAATTAATTTAATAATTATATAAATATAATAATAAAACCCTAGCTAGCTATCATAAAGTTTGCCACCCCTACGGCCTCACACTAGTTGGGAATATGCCACTTCTTTCTCTTAGAGATGATGAAAGAGAGGTAGTAAAATTAAAAGCCAAAAATATTGCTAGGTTTAAATTAAGTAAAAGCTCACCGGGTCTATTTCATTTGCACTAAAATTTACCTGCATTATAAATACAGACGTTATGGTAAAATTCTCCTTTTACTACTGGGTTGCAATCAAAGATTCATTGTGGTAAAATTCCCTCTAGTTAAACCATTTTCTAATTTACCCAAAATCCTAATTAAATTATTCCTTCAAGAATGATCTAGAACATGACACTCTAAATCCTGTTGGTTTAATGAGTTAAGGTGTTAGATTCCTTAATCAATGTTTAAAACTCGAATTTTAATATTATGAAGAAAAAAAACAAGTTTGATTGAGAGTGGCGTTCCTATAATGAATCTATATAATACCCAATTTAAATCAATTGATTAATGAATCGAATATATATCAAATATCAAACAATCAGGTTGAGTGGGTCCTACTATCTTAACAGACAAGAAAGACGCAAGGGGAAAAAAGGCCAAAAGCAAATATCGAAATTATGGTTTTAGTTCCTATACTTTAATTTGATTGTATTTAGTCATTTATTTGTAGGCTAATATATAAAATTTGCCTTTCTAATTGTATCTAAAATCAAGTGAGTTCTCGCTTTTAATCACGATTTAATGAGGCATTATTTTAAAAAAAAAACTTTAAGGGGTGTTTTCAATGTTTAAGACAATTTCAAGGGCTTATTTTATCATGAGGGCTAACTTAATTTTTGGATACAATTAGAGGGACCAATTTGACATTTAAGCCTCATTTTATAACATAATGAATCAAAATAACTAACGCCATAAACTATTTTAGCTAAACTGTTGATGTGAACTTTCTTCAAAACATCGACCCCAACAGAAAAATGTCAATTATAGGTGAAAATTCGATGAGTCAAGTGGAGTAAATTTTGTTCGAATTAGTCGAGTTGATGAGTCTTATACTATAACTTAAATTTAATTTAAAAAAATTCGAGTTGAATTAAGTTGTTAGAATTTCTGTTTAAATTTAATTATAAATATTTATAATGTTATAATATTATTTTTTTCTAATTTAAATGACTTTCTATAACCATATGCAATATACATATATATTTATTCATATTTTTCATATGCAATATACAAATATCATGCATAATTGAGGGATTTGACTCGAACTTAAAAATCAATCTACTAATTATTAAAATTGTTTTTTGATTTAGTTGAGTCCTATTTTATAACTTATTTTTTTATTTTTTGAGTCAAATCAATTTTTTCAGTGTCAAATTAAGGTAAAAGAATCTAATTTTTTAATCTAATCGAATTTTGATCGCTCCTAACATCAACACCATGAATCGAAATGGTTATAAGAACTAATTCCAAATTTGAGCATAGTACAGGGATGAGAACCAAATTTGACCAGTCAAGTTGAAAAAAAATAAGCCACCAACTTTATAAACCCCAAATTTTAACCATGAGATGAGAATGCCCACTGTTTCTCTTTTCCTCAAAATCTTTCTGGAAAAGGCCTTCATCTCTCAGTGTTCTCCGACTGTTAATCCTTTAGTGTCAGCCATGGGAAGAGCTCCATGCTGTGACAAAGCAAATGTGAAGAGAGGCCCTTGGTCTCCTGAAGAAGATGCCACTCTCAAAAACTACCTTCAGACCCATGGCACCGGTGGCAACTGGATCGCTTTGCCCCTTAAAGCCGGTACAAAAAACTAGGGTTTCACAGATTTCTCACTGGTTTTTTTCCACATGTTTTAGTTTACATTTTTGCTACTTCCCCTGCAAGAAACTAAAGACACTGGTCCTTTGTTTATAGGTCTAAAGAGATGTGGCAAGAGCTGCCGGTTGCGGTGGCTTAATTATCTCAGACCAGACATCAAACATGGAGGTTTTACTGAAGAAGAAGACAACGTTATATTCACTCTCTATAGTCAAATGGGAAGCAGGCAAGTTGCTTTCGTCTTCGACTTTGTCTTTGCCTTTTCTGGGTTTTACTTTTACCCAACTTGTGGTTGTTTTTTTGGGTTTTTTTTAGGTGGTCTCTGATAGCGTCGCAACTCCCCGGAAGAACCGATAACGACGTGAAGAACTACTGGAACACCAGGTTGAAAAAGAAGTTACTCGCCGGGAAATTATCGAGCTTTAATATCGACAACAATGGCGGTCTTATGATCAGTGCTGCTAAAAAACCAGAGGCTGCTGCTGCTTCGTTGCCTTATTATTCAACCCCACTGCCGATTTTATCTGATGTCGGCTATGGATTCTCTGTCAGTAGCAGTAGCGGTACCTCACAAAGCCTGCCTTTGGACCAAGTCATGCGGTTTTCTCTGTCACCCTCGTGTCCAATTCTGCACATCAGTCACAACAACGTCGTCGTCGTCTCATCCCAAGAAGGATCCGCCGTGTCGGATTCCGCTGGTAACGGATATGTAGAAGATTCGAGCGGTATTCTGGTCGATGATCATCATCACCACCACCAGCAACAACAACAATTTAACTTCGACTTCCCTTACGAGTTCATCAATGGCGAGATCGGTGTTCCGAGTTTAGTTGATTTCTCTCACGCTGAGTCGCTGACATAAAGGCTACTCAGGGACTGAGTCAAAGCGTTGTTAACCGATACTGAACGTGGAATCGTTTGAACAACAAAAGGAAGTAGAAGAAGAAGAAGGTGGTTTCTTTTTATGATGTGGACATTAGGGTTTATGTAGATAAACAAAATATATTATATTAACCTCCGATGTGGATTCAAGTCAAGTAAGTGTAGCTTTAAATTAATCTCTGATGTTGATGTTTTATGGTCAATTAGTCTTTAAATATGTCTGGTTCTCTGAATGCAGCCCTTAAACTTTCAATGTTTGAATCCCATTTACCCTATTATATATATAATCATCACTTTTTGGTATATATATTCGATCGAATCTTAATTCAGTTAATATCTCTTAAAGATAATGAATTTTAATGTATTTAAATATAATATCTTTAATTTAAAACTTTGAAGAACATGCTAGATAGTTTAAGTATTATATCAATATATATATATATATAGGGATACAATCGTATCATGGTTTTCAGAACCGGACCGGTTAGCGAACCGGTCATGCTACCGGTTTACTGGTTCGATCGGTCGGAAGAACCGGACGACGTCATAATTATTTAAAAATTAAATAAAAATACCAAAAATATTTAATAAAAAATATTTTTTTATATCACAAGTCATATTCAAAGCAAGTCATAACATATATAAGTTAAAAACCATAAAATCAAGTGAAATAAAATGATTCAAATTAACTACAACATAATATTTAAGATAAAACATATTAAATAATAAATATAATTATATAACTATAATTAAAAAATAAATTTGGGGTTAAAAAAATCATAACAAAATTATATAACTATAATTATATAATTATTCTTTCACTTCAATCAAGCTCGAATTTTAGGCTTCAATCGAGCTTCTAATTTTTTTTGAGTTCAAGCCTTTTTGAGTTCAAGTTTCAATATTATATTTCGAGTTTGAGTTGAACTTGATAATTTTTAGCTTGTGAGTTTGAGTTGAGTTGAGCTTACTGTTAAAGTTTTCAAGTTCGAATCGAGCTCAGCAATACTCGAGTTCGACTTGGCTCGTTTAACAAGCGACGTTGTTTGGTTTAATTTTTTTTTTTAAAAACAAAAATCCCGGTTTTTTCCGGTTTTCAGCCGGTCCGGTTCGAACGGTTTAGCGGTTCTGGCCGGTTCACTAATAGAGGTTCAACCGGTTTAGATTGAACCGGACTAAGCAACGGTTCCCGGTTGAACCGGCCGGTCCGGTCCGGTTTTCAAAACAGAGAATCGTATTATACAATATAAAATCTTTTTAATTTTACATAAATTTAATATCGTTAAATAAATACAAATAGATAATTGAGATTAATAATAAAAAATGACTAAACTTATTTTTATTTTGTTGAGCAAGGAACAACGGATTACTTGGCAGTCTCAATCAAGCATCTACTTATTGGTACTAAAATTCTCTTACGACCACATGGTGCATTCGTTTTACTCTCTCGGGAATGGTAGTTTTGTAATCAAAACATCTTTTTTAGCCATATATACATATAAAAAACAGTATTGTTAAGGGGAAAAAATCAAAATGCTACCTTTCCCCCCCTAACTTTACGAATGTGGATAAAAAGACATTCAAACAACAATTGAGATACATGTTAGAATTTGTTAAGTCACCAAATGGGTATTTTTTTAATAGTTTATTGATTATATTACGAGATAATATTTGTTTAGCATTTTTCTTAATTATTGAAAACACACATATATTTCGTAAACGTATTTACTCAAATTCAAATTTTACAAGAAAAATAATATCTTTTTTTATCATCGATATCGTTGACTAAATTTAAATGAATCACATTTTAACAATTACATATAACCAATTTATTCATGAAAAGAACATAAGTGCCACGTTTTGAAATCTAGAAACATATTTGTTAAATAAAACAAAAATGCCATATTCATATTAAAAAAAACATTAGGATATATGCATGGACAAAGGGAAGATTTCATATAAAATGATGTAAACTTTTAAAATATTATATTAGAAATATATGAGTGTGAAATTATAAAATTTCAGGGGTACGAAATTTTAACGAGTTATATTAAAAATTTAGAGGGTGTGAAATCAAATCATCAATGTAATATACTTGAATATATGAGAATCTAAAAATTTTAGAAAATACGACTGTTCATCGCCGCTCGATCCATCCCTTTAAATAGTATGTACAATTGGGACAAAAGTACATAGAGAGTGAGAATGACTTTTGTTCTGATAGCATTTTAAATCCCTATTAGTTCATTTAAATAAAATTAGAGTTTACCTTATCTAGCTTTGTACCGTTTAAATATCTAATAAATTTTTATTATTTGAAATTATCAGTTCACTTAAGTAAAATAATTTATTTATTCTTATAGTTGTTCTTATCTTCGTCTATGGATACACATAATTGTTTGTTTTGAATGAAGTGATTGACTCATGTGGGTGGGCATGGGGTGTGATTCCATCATCATGTCTGCCTGTGTTTTAGCTGTTTTGAGTGGTCACGAAAGCTGCATGGATGGCTCTACCCATGGCCCGTTCAAACCTCATCATCATCCATGCATATTGCATCTTCTGCAAAGTGCAAACGTATTCTCTTCTTACAGTAACCATAAAATCTCTTTCTCTCCTCATAATCATATTCCTTTCCAGTTTTTGGCAATCTCATCCTGCCCTACTTGTCAGGATTCTTTATTGTTTTCTTCTTCTTTCCACTACTCTATACGTATTTGAATACAGTATACAAGAATAAACCGAAGAAGAACGGACGGAGTAGTCATCCCACTAAAAAAATTTAAATTATTAAATATTTTTTATATTTTATGTTGATAATATATTTTACCTTCTAAAATTTTATAAATTTATTCCATCTTCAAATTATAAAATCTTTAATATCCATCTCTGACTGTACGTACGTATAAATTATCTTCTTATTTGAACATTCAACATAGGTTTCACCATCCAACTTTCAACATACGTATTTGACTTTCCCGTTAGCCACCGAGTTAAAAAAGGGGGTATATTGTGGTTTTAGTCCCTCCACTATACTGAAATTTTAATTTAAGCTCTCTACTTTAGTTTCTTTTAATTTAGCCCATATTCTTTTATAATATTTTGGCTGATATATAAATTTATTATTGATTAAAAATGATTGTTTAGATTTTCACATGATTTGAATGTGTGATCGTATAATATTTAAGGGAAGACCATGTCTTTACTTGTACCAATATCAGATGGTGCAATTAATTTAAACTTAATAATAACATTAAGAAAGTAGAGCGACCGAATTATAATAAATTAAAGTATAGAGACTAACCAATAAATCCTGATGCAATTGACATATAAGTACTTACATATTATCTCAATGAAGACAAAGCCGACTCATGGAGCCACATGAGCTCTTTTTTAACAAAACAATTAAAATAACGTGTTTGATAAATTTTAATTATATTTTTATAATTTATTAATAAAATATTAAATTAAGTATTTTAGAAATATATTTTACTATATAAGGGATATTTTTAATTTTTCGCTGAAAATGTTCAAGACCACTCTAAATAAAGAATATGTTTAACAAATTTTATAATTTTAATTTAATACTTATTTTTTTCATTACATGAAATAATACCCAATCCCAATTTTTTTTCACAATAAACATTTATTTTTCTATCAACATTTTCCGCTGTTATGCACTTTTTTCTTTCTAAAAGTAAACAACCTTTCTCTTAAAGCATACATACACATATCATATAAATTATGTGACATGAAAACCTTGCGACTTATATTATCAATTATCATATGATAAAAGTTAGGTTATTTCAACGTACCTGAATTATAAAGTTAAAACTCTAAATTAATTAAATTGATTCACATAGTTAATACCAAATAAATGTTTTGATTCTCTCGAATACGTATTATTATTAACTAATAAAACGATAAAAATATATTTTAATATCGAAAAACTTGTAATTCGATGTCGATCCTCTAATAAAAAATTGATAGCTTCAAACAACTGCAAACCCTGTTTACCCATCTTTGCCCTAGTAAGGAACTGCTGAGAAAGGATATTCAAAATTCAAAGTTTGGACAGACATTTTGTTCCCTCTAATGTTTGCACATTGCAGTTTCAGACAATTTGCATCATAATGTCCTTCAGCTACATCTTGGTGTCATTACATGTGAATGAATATTCCTTCTTACAAAAGTATTTAACAAAGACAAGCATATCGGCACCATTGGATAGGCCACCGTTGCTTCCTTTCCGGGCTTGGGGACACACATAATTTAATTTAATATTTAAAGTTTATTGTTTAACGATAAAATTATTAGTTTGGTCTAGTGAGATTAGATGTTTAGTCTTTTAATTAAGGTCAAGTGCTCGTCAAGAATTATGACGTTATAAAGGGGAAAACTCAGTTGGAAGGATTATTCACATAGTGAATATTTACAATATTTAATTTAGATTAACTAATTATTGAATCATATATAGATGGTAATTAGTGGAGGACGTATGTGTATTTTAGGGTGAACACTGAAATCTGAATTTATTTATATTAATTATTCATTTTACTGATGGTGTCCATCCTGAAATTTTATTTGTGTCTGCCACAATACGAAATTTTCTATTATTAATACATATGTGTTCACCATAAAAATATTTTTGGGTTCGCCACTGATTGTAATACAAAGCACATTCTTTCATGAAATTATAACATATAAACAAAGAAGATGTAGATGGACATGCGATTTTATTTTAGGAGACAAATTTATAAAATTTTGGAAGAAATGAACTTATAAAATTTTAATAGACGAAAATAAATTATCGATAGAAAATATATAAAAAAATCTTCTAAAATATATGATAATTTAGAATTTTTATAATAACGACTACCTCTATCCATCTCCTTCGATACATCTCTAAAAAAAAGATATTCATTCCCATTGACATTAGTATTATTCAATCTAAATATTTGTATATTTATTTATTGCTATTATATCAAAATTCATCCATTCTTATTATATAATAAAAATGTGTTTCCCTACATTCATTTATGAAGTTTAAAAGTTAAAAGAAGTTAAATTATAAAATATAAATAGTTTTTAATAGTTTTTTTTTATTACATTTATGTTTGTATGATGTGATTTTGAGTAGAAATCATAGTAATTCTCTTGTTATCTTAATGTAATCACATTAATGTCCCAAAAATAAAGACATTCATATTTCAAAATATTTATGCTATTCAAG